CCAAACCAGTCAATCCTATAGGAAATCAACCTTGAATATTCATTGGAAGGACTAATGCTGAAGCTGAAACGCCAATATTTTGGTCACCTGACGCGAAGAGTTGACTTATCAGAAAAGACTATGATGCTGGGAAAGATTGACGGCAAAAGGTGAAGAGAGTGGCAGAGGATGAGATGGTGAGATAGCATCACCAACTCAATGACCATGAATCTGAGCAAACTCTGGGGAGGACAGGAGAGCCTGGTGTGCTATAGTCCACAGAGTCACAAAGAGTCAGACACCACTTAGTGACAGGAGGATGACAACAACTTAGCAGCAAGTGCCTGCTGAGCTGCTGCCACTCAGCGTGGCTTTCGTGACCTTCTTGTAAAGTGGGCTGAAGGCCAGTCCAGTAAGAAAACAAGGCTTCCATGTGGAGTACAGCTGGAAGGTGATGAGAAGAGGTAAGAAAGACCAAGTCCTTCCTATTCCCTCAAACCATCATTCACAAGGAAATCTGGCAGATGGGTAAAGGGCAAGTCTTGGCTTAGCCTCCCTTGAAATGCTAGTCCCTTGGTAAGCTTGGTGTATGGAGAACAGAGAGCAGGGATCCACCTCTCCTCTCCTTCCAGGCCCTTCAGTGCATCTAAGTGATTTGTTTTTACAGGAGGTCTGGTGGACTACAGCCCACGGGTCGCAAAAAGAGTTGGACACGACTTGGCAACTAGACAAGTGGAGCAACCAGAACACCATCATCTTCCCTGACTTTCCCATCCTTCTTGTCACTGTCCCCTGCCTGGCATGACCCCTCATTTCAGGTGCTTGGCGGGGGGTGGGGGGGGCTGGTGGTGGTGGATTTCTAGACCACTTGTGCATTTTTTCCTTTTCAAAACAACCATTTCTGTTAAAGATCACTACCCTCCTGGCTTCAGTGAGGACTCAAAGCCACTGTATCCAAAAGCAGGGCAGTGAATGTGGGGTTCCAGAAGTGTCTCTGAGTGCCCATGGGGTTAGGGACCCAGAGGAATTCATCAGAGGCCTCCAGAAACTTGTGGGGGTGGGGAAGAAGAGAGGGGAACGGGGAAGGAACGGAATCCAAGTGAAGTATTTTCTAAAACCTTCACAACAAAGCAAAATGGTGCTTGTGAGAGGAAAACGCTATTCTTCAAATGGCAGGCAGTGTGTAAATCAACGCAAGCAGGGACTACAGCCCAGGTGCCTTGGCGAAAGCAGGTAGCCTGTGTATATGCTGCCCCCAACAGAAGGGCAGATTCTACGTCACAGCAGTTAGGACAAACACTAATTGAGGAATTAAGTACGTGGTAATCAAATGGCAACCCACTCCAGTATTCTTGCCTGGAAAATCACATAGACGGAGGAACCTGGCGGGCTAAAGTCCATGGGGTTGCAAACAGTCAGAGAGGACTGAGAGACTTCACTTTCACTTTCAATCTCCACACCCTTGACGGTTTGTGTGTTAATGAACAGTAATTAACCTGCAAGGCCCTGTTTTCCATGCAAATCATCACTGTGATGGGTACCTGCAGAATACTATTTTCCCATAAATAGGAAAAGCTCCACTAAATGACTACTGTGGCAAGAACACTTCACTCTGCTAAGAAACGTTTTGAAACGCTACACATTCTAATAAAGATCATGTTAGCAGAAATGTTATAAAAACAAAGGGATGCCCAAGAGAACAGACTATATTTACCCAAAATACACAGGCTAGTGGTGTTCAGTTGTGCTGAAAACCTTCCCAAACCCAACAACTTACAAGACTCAGATTCTGACCGAGATGAGAACTGACTCAGGATCTTGCAGCCAAAGATATGGGAGAAACACATTCTTGACAAACGTAAGGGAGGATCAGAGACAGGACAGATAGAAGGAGCTCAGCATAGCACCCCCATTCCTGCCCTCCCCCACCCAAAGCACCTGCTCCCCAGGGTAGACAGAGCACCATGATAGCAGCTCCATGCTGTAATGTTCTGGTGCCAAAGCCCTTGGTTCTTCCCTTTCATCCAGCGTTTCAATGAAGGATTTGTTTCCGGAAACTTTTTTTTTTGCACACTTTCTGCCACGGCACCAAACACATGTAAAGAATGACTTAGCAGGAGAAAGCATCAACTATTAATCCACTTCTCCTTTTTTCTGTTTTCCACAAATCTGATCGGTGGCTAAGATGGTAAAGAATCCACCTGAAACGTGGGAGACCTGGGTTTGATCCTGGCGCTGGGAAGATCCCCTGGAGGAGGGCATGGCAACCCACTCCAGTATTCTTACTTGGAGAATCCCCACGGACAGAGAAGCCTGGCAGGCTACAGTCCACGGGGTTGCAAAGAGTCGGACACGACTGAGCAAGTGAGCACAGCACAGCACAAATCTGAATCTCCATAAATTACCACCATTTATTGACAGACTAGCACATCCAAACTGTGCTTTTCCTCCCTCTTCACACCTCGCCCTGTCTTTACACTTAGTCCTGTAAGTAGGAAGGCTCATAAGTTTAAGTTGCCCAAACTTAAAACCGACTTCATATCCAAATCCAGTTCTATCTGATGCAAAGCATATGTTCTTTTACCCATTTTGAAGCAATATTATAATGTGAAATCATAACAGTATAAAATGAAATTCCTTAAAAGACTTCATAATATTCCTTAAATTCCTTCATAAATTCCTTAAAAGACACCAATCTTAACTCATGAAATCAAAAACCTTCAAAAGTATAAAAAGCATCTTACAGAAATAAAGTACTATATGAATATAAAGTATTTTAATATGGTAATATTTCAAGCATATGGTCACTCCACATTAATTTGCTAGATCTTTATCATGTATTAATATCTTGTAGTCTAAATAATGGAGTGTCTGGGGGAAGCAGAGTCCCTGGGCAGTGAGAAAGGATCTCAAAAAGGTGTCACTTCCTTTATTTATTTTTTAAAAATATTTATTCTGTTTTGTTGGGTCTTTGTTGCAGCATTTGGGATCCTTAGCTGCAGCATTCCAACTCTTAACTGCGGCATGGGGGATCTAGGCACTGGATTGTAGCCAGGGTCAAAACTAAATCCATGCGTTGGGCTCTGGCAGCTGTGGAGGGTCCTGCAAGAGTTGAGTCTTAGAAGTCCTGGGTGGGGAACGAAGATTAAGGCAGAGATGAGCAGGATGCACCTTCTGATCTTGCCTAGACAAAAAAGGAGACCAAGGAAGGCTCTCACGCAGGTTCCAGATGGGCGCCTGCGGGGCCTTCTCTACTGTGAGATTCTGCGTGTGCGCTCAGTCATCTGACTTTGTGAAACCCCATGGACAGTAGCCCACCAGCTTCCTCTGTCCACGGGATTTTCCAGGCAATACTGGAATGGGTTGCCATTTCCTGCTCCGAGGGAGGGATTGTCCCGACCTAGGGAATGAACCCACATCTCCTGCTGTCTCCTGCATTGGCAAGTGGGTTCTTTACCACGAGTGCTACTGTAGGAAGGCCTCCTCCAAAAGGAGTTTCTCAAAACACTCAGCCTCTTAGCCTCATCCATCACATAGATCCTTCTGATGCCTACCTTAGCCAAACCCACTTCCCTTGCTTCCATTTTAATCCAATAAAAGAAGAAACTGTGTCCTAAAGGCCTTACTTTTTAATTATGCCCCTGACAGGTTATCAATACATTTATAAAAAAGAAGGATATGCAATAAGTAGAGCATTTTTCCTCTGGAAGAAAAATTACTGTTTAATCTTTTTTGTAGCACAGGGGCATTATGCAAAATTTAGGATATGACATCTGATGGAAAGAAAAAATTCCAGTCACTAGCTGAGGCTATACCACTTTTTCATTTATTTATTTCACCATATAGTTTAATTATGTATGTGAAAAGTGAAAGTGTTAGTCACTCACTGGTGTCTGACTCTTGTGACCCCATGGACTGTAGCCTGCCAGGCTCCTCTGCCCATGGGATTTTTCAGGCAAGAATACTGGAGTGGGTTGCCATTCCTTTCTCCAGGGGATCTTCCTGACTCAGGGATCGAACTTGGGTCTACTGCATTGCAGGCGGATTCTTTTACCATCTAAGCCAACAGGGAAAGGCAATTACATATACATATTTTTATATTAGTACATATATATTTAATTTAAAATTGAATCTAAAATGATGCTTTATGATTTTATACCAGTTTAATCCACTTAAGAACATAAGCTTATATATATTACTAAATGATGTTTTGTAATGTTATTCTTAATGGTTGCAAAATGACTTTTTGTATTGAGGTGGCATACATTAACTCATCTTCTGTTATTAGAAATGTAATACTGTTCCTGATTTTTCATTATTGTAAACACACCGCCATGAATATCCTTGTAGCTAATTAGTTGCAACTGGCCTTCATTATTTCCTTAAGACAAATCCTAATAGTAGATTGCTAAAATTAGACTTCTCTAATTTTTTAACATTTCTAAAATGTATTGCCCAAGTGCACCCTGATTTAGCAATTTACATGCATACTGCTGGCTTCCCAGGTGGGGCAGTGGTAAAGAATCCACCTGCTAAGGCAGAAGATGCAGGAGAGGTGGGTTTGATCCATGGTCTGGGAATATCCCCTGAAGGAGAAAATGGCAACCCACTCCCATATTCATGCCTGGAGAATTCCATGGATAGAAGAGCCTAGTAGGCTACAGTCCATGGGGTCAGAAAGAGTTGGACACAACTGAGCTACTGAACACACACATACAACACAGAAAGGTAAACATCCTTACAAACAGTACTTCCTGCCCTGCTGCAGATGACTGCTTCTATTTTCTTAAATTGATATATACAAGACAAGTTTAACTTTTTAGCTTCTTACTCATTTCTCAAGGTAATGTAGAAACAAAGCTTTAATATATTCCCTATCTAAGAGCACAAACTTTCTTTACCTTGGTCTAAAAATACCAATGCTTCTTATCCATTCTCCAATTAGACTAATAGAAAAATGATTTATATTTTCAGAAGTTAGAGGATATTTCAAAACAGGAAATGAAAAATAAAGGGCATACCTGATAAAAGTTAGGCCAGAAGGTACTGATGGCCAGTTCTGCCCTGTTCCATGTACGGTTAGGGTCTCCAGATATATTCCAGATAGGGCTCCCCAAAGGCCCATTATTGACCTTCACGTAGACGTTGAGTGACCCGGGGGCAGAATTACTCTTGCTAGACACAAAGTAGTGAAAGTCAATGCAGTGGGTGTCATTCTCCTTCAGCTGAGGTAGGAGGAGGTGGGCTCTCTGTCCCTCGGGTCTCCCGGATGTGTTCACCAACATGAAGGAGCCTGCAAAAAAAAAAAATCAAAGGAGGCTCACAATACGAAACACTGCTTCCTGGTCATTTCTGAGAAGCCACCGTCATGTCCATGGGTCGACACTGCAATTCTACACACTTGACCCTGGCTTTCAAAGTCCTCTCTCTTTCACCTCTTTTTACCCCCAAAGTGTTCTCAAGATGAGTGGATGGCAAAGTCCCTTGATGTCACTGTGATTAGTCTCCTAAGGAACATGCACGGTTTTCTCTGCACTGTTCAATCGATGGTCACTAGCCACATGTAGTTTTTTTAAGAAATTAATTAAAAATCTGTAATGTTGTCATATTTTAGATTCCATATGTAAGTGATATTATATGATACTTGTCTCTCTCTCTCTCTGACATACTTCACTTAGTATGATAATCTCTAGTTGCATTCATGTTACTGCAAACGGCATTATTTTGCTCTATGGCTGAGTAGTATTCATTGTGTGTGTGTGTGTGTGTGTGTGTGTGTGTGTGTGTGTGTGTGTCTGTATGTACCACATGTTCTTTATCTATTCATCTGTCAATGGACATTTATGTCCTGGCTATTGTGAATAATGCTGCTATAAACATAAGGGTGTATGTACCTTTTTGAATTCTAGTTTTGTCCAGATATATGCCCAGGAGTCAAATTACTGGATAATATGGGGAAGGAATGGATTCAATGGACGTTAGTTTGAGCAAACTCTGGGAGATAGTGAAGGACAGGGAAGCCTGGCATGCTGCAGTTCATGGGGTCGCAAAGAGTCAGACACAACTTAGTGACCAAACAACAGGGAAGGAATATTTGGGAGCTTGGGGTTGGTACATGTAAACTATTACACATAGAATGGATAACAAGGTACTGCTGTATATCATAGGGAATGGTATTCAATATCCTGAGATAAATCATAATGGGAAAGAATGCAAAAAAGAATGTGTATATATATATATATGTATATATATGTAAAAAATGTATATATATATGTAAAGAATGTATATATCTGTAAAAAAGAATGTGTGTATATATATGTATATATATATATGATTATCTTTGCTATACAACAGAAATTAACATAACATTACAACAATGCAAATTGACTGTACTCCAATTTAAAAAAAGATAAATAAAAAAACATTTAGTACCTGGATAAAAAAAAATTCTATAACATTGAAAGTTTACATCCTCAGCCACACGACCCACATTTCAAGCACCCAACAGTCACGTGGGGCCAGGTGCTGCCATATCGGGCTGTTTGATTTTGAATTTCTCCATCATCTCTAGACAGCATGATTCTCTCATGGTACCACCACAGAGTCATCCCAGCCGCTCTAAGATTTCCATAAAATCTAGAGAAAGGGAACAGGCTGGTCTGGTTTGCGGAATCTTAGAAACCGTATAGACATGATGATGTTCTTTGTCGTCAATATAGCATGATTTTCTTGCAGGTCAGCACCGCTGCTCCTCCCCTACCGCTGCCCAGCTGGCTTCTCCTTGACCGGAGGTGGGGAGGGTGATGAAGTCTACTGGGCAGCAGCTGTACCCAGGGAGCATGGTCATTCACAGAAGTCTCTGTGACTCCTTTCGTCTTCTCATCCAGGGCACTAACCCACGTGTGAGTGACCAAGAGTTTCCATGCCAACACAAGCTTCCCAGGCACCCTGATCTTAGGACAGGTCACTTGAAAGGTTCAAGAAATGGAACTATAATAATGATAGGAATTTTACATATCACAATGCATAAGATAAAATCTTCTAAGATAAAATCTTCTAAGATAAAAGGGAAAACTGGTCATCACAAGTCTTCTTGCAGTTCAGTTCAGTCACTCAGTCGTGTCTGACTCTTTGCGACCCCATGAATCGCAGGACGCCAGGCCTCCCTGTCCATCACCAACTCCTGGAGTTTACCCAAACTCATGTCTATCAAGTCGATTATACCATCCAGCCATCTCATCCTCTGTCGTCCTCTTCTCCTCCTGCCCCCAATCCCTCCCAGCATCACGGTCTTTTCCAATGAGTCAACTCTTCCCATCAGGTCGCCAAAGTATTGGAGTTTCAGCTTCAGCATCAGTCCTTCCAATGAACACCCAGGACTGATCTCCTTTAGGATGGACTGGTTGGACCTCCTTGCAGTCCAAGGGACTCTCAAGAGTCTTCTCCAACACCACAGTTCAAAAGCATCAATTTTTCGGTGCTCAGCTTTCTTCACAGTCCAACTCTCACATCCATACATGACCACTGGAAAAACCATAGCCTTGACTAGAAGGACCTATGTTGGCAAAGTAACGTCTCTGCTTTTTAATATGCTCTCTAGGTTGGTCTATAACTTTCCTTCCAAGGAGTAAGCGTCTTTCAACTTCATGGCTGCAATCCCCATCAGCAGTGATTTTGGAGCCCCCCAAAATAAAGTCTGACACTGTTTTCACTGTTTCCCCATCTATTTCCCATGAAGTGATGGGACCAGATGCCATGATCTTAGTTTTCTGAATGTTGAGCTTTAAGCCAACTTTTTCACTCTCCTCTTTCACTTTCATCAAGAGGCTTTTTAGTTCCTCTTCTTTAGCAGAGAGGAAAAAAGGTATTGAAATTCTGAGAGAGAAGAACAAGTAAATTTGGAGAATCAAAGTGAAAAAAATTACTACTCAGGGTGGTTGGACGTTTCTACTGTGGAAAACGACTCTCACCCTCAGTTGAGTGTTCCTTTAAAGACTTACATCACTGTGAACCATAGTTTTCAATTTACATGTATGAATGCTTGTGGGTATATATTGGATTGGCCAGAAAGTTTGTTTGGGCTTTTCCATTACATGTTATAGAAAAACCTGAATAACTTTTTGGCCAACCTAATATATTTTAGTAAACACTCACATATATCTATAAACATACGTACATAATCCTAGAAAAGGTGTGGAATTTTTCTCTCATCTACTCGCTGTGGTTTCTTAAACACCAAAATGAGACTCCTTTCTCAGAGAATTATTAGGAGAACTAAAAAAAAAAAACAAAAACAAATGTAGATATATCCTTTATAAATTAATAGGCTATTATTAAGGGATCAATATTACAAAATGTTTGCATCTAGTTGTTACCGCTCAAGACCGCTTTCTGAGATGAGCTCGTGCTAATGCCATTTAATAGGAACTGCATCACAGAAAGACTAGGAAGCATCTTATCCAGGTTTAAGGGTGAGTCAGTGGCAAATCCTGAACTTAAAGCCTCTGAGTTTCCATCCCATTACTCATCTTGTTACACTCCAATAACCCCAGGCTTCCTCCTGTGCCATGCGAGCACATGTGGAGAAAACAAACCCCTTCACGACAGTGAAGGAAAATTACAAGCACTATTTGAAAATGCAGCAATTTTTTCAAGAGATGAATGTTATGTACCTGGAAATATGAAAGCCAAGCCACAAGGGAGGGGTTAGGGAACATATATTTCAGTAATAAGGAAGAACAGCAAACATGGTTTAAGAAAGAGATGGGGACAGAGAGACTGAATGTGTGGAAGAGAATATCACTGAAATGATTGGGGTTATCTATATTCTACAAAATGTGGTGGGGGGAAATCTCTTCAAGAGACGCAGGGTTGACCAACCCCATCACAAACTTATAGCTGGCTATAGTATTTACAACAGGACTTAAAAACTGTACTTTGTTGCTTTTAGTAAAATAAGAAAATTTATTCCACATTCCATCATTTGGGGCTGTGGCATCGGCAACACAGTTACAATGTTGAATATTCCCACTCATGAGGCCGAGGTGTGACACAGACTTGAAGCCGACTCTGAATCACCAAAACCTTTAGTATCATCACATTGTCAAGAATATTATTTCTGGACTTCCCTGGTGGTCCAATGCTAAAAAATCCCCCTGCCAATGCAGGGGATATAGGTTAAATCCTGGGTCCAAGAAGATTCCACATGCCGTGGAGCAATAACTACTCAAGGGCACTCATCCTAGAGCCTGTGCTCTACAACAAGATAAGCCCACTCACTGCAACCAGAGGAAGCCTGCATGCATCAGCTAAGACCCAGTATAGCCAAAAGTAAATAAAATAAATAAATAATATATATTAAAAATATATAAAGAAAATGTATAAAACAACAAATACAAAAAAAAAAAGAATATTATATCTTGGAGTGTTTCCATCACTTACATGTGGTGACCAGAGGTGGTAAAAGTGTTGATGTGCATACAAGGGCAAAGTCTCCTGCATCTGGGGAGGTTGAGTCTGGATGCATAGATGAAGAGTCTCTTTACACAGGCTGGGATAAACTGGGTAACGTCCTACTGTAGTTGTTCAGGAATCACAGGAGTTCCCTAAGATACTGTTTTTCCCACTACACAGCCTGTCCTTCAATACTGACTCCATTCAGCTTCATCCCAGCACAGAATGCTCTGTCAGCTTCTTAAGTGGTCTAACGTACAGAGATATTTTTATCTTAAGGTCAAGGTGAAATTCAGGTGCTATGAACTACAAATACTGAAATGATCCTGACTTGTATGTGCGTGTTGAATCACTACAGTTGTGTCCTACTCTTTGCGACCCCTTGGACTGCAGCCCTCCAGGCTCCTCTGTACACGGGATTCTCCAGGCAAGAATACTGGAGTGGGTAGCCATTTCTTCCTCCAGAGGATCTTCCTGACCCAGGGATCGAACCCGGGTCTCCTGCATTACAGGCAGATTCTTTACTGCTGAGCCACCAGGGAAGGCCATCAATTTTAAAGATGATGTTTCAGGAAACACCAGTACTTCCTGCACTAGTGTTCTATGGTGAGTGTGCAGAAGAAAGTGTGAACATTTATGTTTAGCATCTTCCAGCAACTCTGGATCCTGGGGTAAAGTCCCAGTTGTGCCTAAAGGGATGGCAGGTCAGAGGAAGAGGTGCCTTTTAATTGTCTGAATGTATCACCTGCCTGTTATAGAAGTAAAGTCAACTCACAAACTGATGTTAAAGACTTCAAAGCATTCACATTCTAGACTAGTAAGTCTGTTCTTAACAATGTC